TTATATTTATTAAAACTGTTGTATTTATTACAACTGTTGTTATATTTTTATAACTGTTGTTATATTTATTACAACTATTATATTTATTACAACTTGTTATATTTATTTGAACTTTTATATTTATTACAAATGTTATTATATTTATTACAACTGTTGTTATATGTTGTTATATTTATTACAACTGTTGTTATATTTATTACAACTGTTATATTTATTACAACTGTTATATTTATTACAACTTGTTATATTTATTATAACTGTTGTTATGTTTATTACAACTGTTATATTTATTACAACTGTTATATTTATAACAACTTGTTATATTTTCTAGAACTTTTATATTTATTACAACTGTTGTTATATTTATTACAACTGTTGTAATATTTATTACCATTGTTGTTATATTTATTACAACTGTTGTTATTTTCACTACAACTGTTGTTATATTTATTACAACTGTTGTAATATTTATTACCATTGTTGTTATATTTATTACAACTGTTGTTATTTTCACTACAACTGTTGTTTTATTTATTACAACTGTTATATTTATTACAACTTGTTATATTTATTAGCACTGTTATATTTATTAACTGTTATATTTATTATAACTGTTGTTATATTTATTACAACTGTTGTAATATTTATTACCATTGTTGTTATATTTATTACAACTGTTGTTATTTTCACTACAACTGTTATATTTTTTACAACTTGTTATATTTATTAGCACTGTTATTTTTTATTACAACTGTTGTTATATTTATTATAACTGTTGTTATATTTATTACAACTGTTATATTTATTACAACTTGTTATATTTATTAGAACTTTTATATTTATTACAACTGTTGTTATATTTATTATAACTTTTATATTTATTACAAATGTTGTTATATTTATTACAACTGTTGTTATATGTTTTTATATTTATTACAACTGTTGTTATATTTTTTACAACTGTTGTTATATTTATTACAACTGTTATATTTATTACAACTGTTATATTTATTACAACTTGTTATTTTTATTATAACTGTTGTTATGTTTATTACAACTGTTGTATTTATTATAACTGTTATATTTATTACAACTTGTTTTATTTATTAGAACCTTT